TTTTCTCCTCCTCTTCCTCTTCTCCTTCTTCCACTTCTCTTTTTCTTCTTCTTCTCTTCTTCTTCTTCTTTTCCCTCTCCTCCTTCATCTTTTCTTTTTCGTCTACTTCTTCTCATCCTCCTTCTCCTTCTTCTTCATCTTCTTCTTTTTACTGTTCTCTTCTTCCCCCGTCTTCTTCTTCTTCTTCTTCTTCTTTCTTCTTCTTCTTCTTCTTCTTCTCCTTCTCCTTCTTCTCCTTCTCTCCTCCCTTCTTCTTCTTCTCTTTCTTTTTTTTTCTTCATCTCCTCCTCTCCTTCATCTTCTACTTCTTCTTTTTTTCTTCTTCTTCTCCTTCTTTTTCTTATTCTTACTTTTCTTCTTCCCCTTCTTCATCTTCTCCTTCTTCTTCGTCTTCTTCTTTCTTCTTCTACTACTACTTCTTCTCCTTCTTTTTTTCTTCTTCTTCATCTCCTTCTTATTTTTCTTCTTCCTTTTCTCTTTCTTACTCTTCTTCTCCTTCTTGTTCTTCTTCTTTTTTTCTCCTCTTCTGCTCCTTGTTCTTCTTCTTGTTCTTCTTCTGACCTTTTTCTCTTCTTCATCTTTTTCCTTTTTCCTCTTTTTCTTTTCCTCCTTCTGTTATCGTCATCATCATTTTCTTTTCCGTTTCTTTTATTATTCTTTTATTTCTCATCATCTTCTTATCCTCTTCTTTCTATCCTTCTCTCCTCTCATTCTCCCTGCATTTCTCTTTCTTTTTTCTTTCCTCCCTTCGCCTTTATCTTCAGATTCTCCATCTTCTTTCTTCCTTTACTCTTTCCCATTTATCTTCATTTCTCTCTCTCTCCTTCTAAGGAAGAAACAGATTGCCTAAAATGCTTTGACCTTGTGATTGGCAACACTTCATCGTTATCATCATTTATCTTCATTTCTCTCCTTCTTTCTTTCTTTATCGTGTGTTATTTCTTTCTACCACTTCTTTTCTTCAGTAATTCCTTTTTACTATTGCATCTTTCTTTCTTTCCGTTATTTTTTCTTCATTTACACAATTTTATCAATGTCTTTCTCCTTTTCTTTCGTCTATTTTTTTCTTTTTATCTTCTTTATCAGCTTCTTTCTATCTGTCGTTCCTTTTTTCTTTATTCCTTCTCTCATTTTTATCGTCTTTCTTACTTACTATTTTATGCTTTCATGTTATTGTTCTCATTTCTTATTTGTATTTCCTTGCATGTTTTTTTCTCTTCTATTCATTCTCCTATTTCTACCTTTCCTTATTATCATCTGTCCCTCCTCCTTTATTTATCGACTTATCTCTCTTCCCTCCTCCGTCCTTTCTTTTATTTTAATTTCCATTCAGTTTCTTGTTCTTTTATATAATTCTTCCTTCCTTTTTCCATTTACTTCTCATTCTCCCCGCACTTCTGGTTATCTTTGTCTTCATTTCTTCTCATTCTTCCAATTTCCTTTCTTTCCTCTCTTTGTCTCTTCATTCCTGTCTTTTTCCTTCCTTTTCCACCTCCCTTCGTTCGTTTTCTTATTCTTACATATCCTCCATTTTCCATCTTTTCTTTAATTTTCCTTTCTTTTCCTTCTGGCAATAATTTTCCTTTTTCTTCTATATCGTCCCTTCCTTCCTTCTTAACTCTTCCCTCTCTTCCCCATCTCTTGATTTCCCTCTTATTTCTCCCCTTGCTATCTCTTTTTATCGCTCTACCTCCCTCACTTGCTTTCTGTTCACTCCCCTCCCTCTTAATTCTCTGTTCTTTTATCCATCTCCCTTTCCTACTCTTCTCTCTCTCTCATCCCATGTCATCCCTCCCTCCTGTCCTATCTCTCCCCTTCCTCCCCTTCTGATTTCTGCCCTCCCTTCCCCTCCTATTTCCCCCTGCAGTCTCTTCCTATCTCTCTTTACTCTTCTTTTCCTTACTTTTCATCCTCCCCTCCTATCCCTTCTTCTCCCTCCCTTACTATCTCTCTCTTTTCCCCTTTCCTATCTCCCTTTTCCTTCCTTTTCATCCCTTCCCTTACGTCTCTCCTTTCCCTACTTTTTTCTCTTCCCTCCCCTTCCTTCTATCTCTTCCCTCCCTCGCTCCCTCCCTCCCCTTCCCTCCCTTCCCTCCCTTCCCTTCCTTCCTTCCTTTCCCTACCTCTTCCCTTCTCTCCTTTCCCTACCTCCCATCCACCCTCCCTCCCTTTTCCTTCCCTCCCTTCCCTCCCTTCCTTTCTTCCTTTCCCTACCTCTTCCCTTCTCTCCCTCCCTTCCCTTCCCTTCCCTCCCTCCCTTTTCCTTCCCTCCCTTCCCTCCCTCCAGGTCAGCGCCCCAGCAGAGACGTCACAAGAGGGGCGTCTCTCACAGCCAACGGAGGAGCCTTGTGTGTCTCCAGCAAGTCTTTGGGGGCAGGACTTCGAGGCGAGCCCTTATTTGTGAGCTTTTTCTCTTTGGTTGTTGTTGTTGTTGTTGTTGTTTTGTTGTTATGCTTGGTGGTGGTATTTATGTTGTTGCTTTAATGGGATATTATTATCATCATCCTTATCATTACATTGTCATCATCTTTATCATTATATTGTCAACATTGTCATTTTTATCATCAATATTATCATTTTCATCATTATCCTTATCACTATTATCATTCTCATTACTATTATTATTATTATCATCAATTCTACTATTGTTAACATTATTAGTATTATTACTATTATCATAATCATTGTCACTATTATTATCTTTGTTATTATTATTATTATTGTCCTTTTCATTATCACCATTACTATCCTTATTATTACCATTATTTTCATTATCATTACTATTACTATCAGTATCATCAATGTTATCATCATTGTTATCATTAATATCATTGTTATTGTCATTATCATTATTATTATCATTATTATCATTATCGTTGTTTTTGTCATTATTATCATTATCATTATTATCTTTGTTTTTTTATTATTATCATTATTATTGTTATAATTATTGTTATCATTATTAGCATTATTGTAGTAATTATTATTATTATTATTATCATTATTATTATTATTATTGTATTCGTTATTATTATCGTTATCATTTTTATTATTATTGTTATTACCATTATTATCCTTATTATTATCGCTACTGTTAATAGCATTACTATCATCATTATCATTATCATATTTAGTTGTAGTAATATCATCATCATCATTGCTGCTGCTGTTGTTCTTACCATTATCATTATTATCATTGTTGTAGTTCTTGCCATTGCCATCATAATACCCTTACATTTATCATCATACTTTTTATAATCACTCTTCTTTTTCATTTCTATCCACACTGATAGAATTATCGTAATTATCGCCCTCGTTCTTTTGCCTCTCATTCTAGCTTCCACTACCTGAATCCTTCTCAATCAAAAATCCAAAAATTATTTGACATTTTATAATCAAGCTTTACGTTTTTGGTGAAAAGTACCAAGACTGTGTATTAAAAGCCACAGACCTCGCCTTTGACCAGCAACTGCGCCTCCCCTAGGTTTAGAACTTAGACATAGATTTTGCATTTGGATTGAAGTCATAGTGATCAAGCCTTCCCTTTAATGCAGAATTTAGACATAGCTCTCACAGTTAGATTTAAGGTGATATTGATCAAACCTTCTCAGACATGGATGTTCTATTCAATAGTAAGTAAAACAAAAGTGTCCATCTTCTTCTTCTTCTTCTCCTCCTTCTTCCTCTTCTTCTTCTTCTTCTTCTTCTTCCTCTTCTTCCTCCTCAACATGGAATTCAAATGTAAGCCCCTCCTTTCACTAGAATAAAGATGATATATAACAAAAAAGAAACTACGAACACACGTAGATAAACATTCCGACGTAAACCTGTCAACAGCGACCACGAAAACCCACAACGAACAAACGCAACCTGCTTAAGAGAGAGGGAGGGATCTGAGCACAACAAACCGCAACCGAACCTGAGATATCAATACACAGGCGCCCTTTGAGTCGGAATTCAGACCTTTGCATTTCAGATTCGGAAGGCCAGGCCTAGCCACTCTGCGCTCTCCTGTAATCCGACGCCGATCCCGAGCCCTTCCTTGAACGCCTATTTTTAGACATATCTCACGAGCCCCGGGGAAGAGGAAGAGGGGGGGGGGTTGAGAGGGAGAAAAGAGGAGGAGGAAAGAGGATTGAAGGTGTGAGAGGGGAGAGGGAGAAAAGAGGAGGAAGGGGGAGGGGGAAGGGAAGCTTGAGAGGGAGAAAAGAGGATTGAAAGGGGTGAGAGGGGGGAGAGAAAAGAGGAGGAAGGGGAAGGGGGGAGATGGGAAAGGGAAGATTGAGAGGGAGAAAAGAGGAAAGGAAAGAGAGGAGAAAAGAGGATTGAGGGGGAGAGGGAGAAAGGAGAAGGAAGGGGAGGGAGGTGAAAGGGCGAAAGGAAGGTTGAAAGGGAGAAAAGAATAGGAGGAAGGGAGTGAGAGGTAGAGAGGGGTGAAGGGAGAGAAGAGGATTGGAACAGATGAAGGGAGAAAGAGAAGGATGAAAAGAGGAGGAAGAGAGAGATGAGAGAAAAAGAAGGGAAAGGAGATGTAGAAAAGAGGAGAAAGACATGGGAAAAAGAGAGTGAAGGGGAAAAGAGAAGAAGAACACAAGAGAAGTAGAGGGGAGAAAGGGAAGAAGAGTGGTGGAGAGGGAGAGGAATGGATGAGAGAGAGAAATGAGGGCAGTGGAAGGGGATAGAGACGAAAGAAAGGGAGAAAGGACGGTGGATGGGAAGGGGAAAGGGAAGGTGGAGAAGGAGATAAAAGGTGGAAGGAGGAGACATAGGATGGCGAGAAGGGATAAAACAGTGGATGTGAGGGACGAGAGATGAAGGAAAGGGAGAAAGGAGAAGAGAGGAAAAAGAGAAA